CCCACTCTCTCTGGGGCGGTCTGGTATTGCTCCAGGAGTCCTCTGTCATACCCCACTCTCTCTGGGGCGGTCTGGTATTGCTCTAGGAGCCTCTGTCATGCCCCACTCTCTCTAGGGCGGTCTGGTAATGCCCCAGGAGTCCTCTGTCATACCCCACTCTCTCTGGGGCGGTCTGGTATTGCTCCAGGAGCCTCTGTCATGCCCCACTCTCTCTGGGGCGGTCTGGTATTGCCCCAGGAGTCCTCGGTGATACCCCACTCTCTCAGGGGCAGTCTGGTGTTGTTCCAGGAGTCCTTGGTGATACCCTGCACTGCGGGGAAGTCTGGTATTGCCCCAGGAGTCCTCAGTGATACCCCACTCTCTCTGGGGTGGTCTGGTATTGCCCCAGGAGTCCTCAGTGATACCCCAAGTGTTCTTAAAAACAGGGAGTGCCGTTCCACTGAGGATGCCCAGGGGCAGTGTTCTTAAAGGGCTCTATTTATGGCTCTGTAGTGCTTCCTTCAGAGCTTTTCGCAGTGGAGAATAGGAGTTTTATTTTCATTTCTGGAGTGTGGATTTAATCCCCGAGTAATTCTAATTTTGTTGCAGAATTCAGTGTTGCAGCACTGAGCCCAGCAGTGCGGGGAACTAGGCAGAGGTTATAAACACTGTGCAGGCCCAGGGCCCAGGGCTCAGGAGGACACACTGACAGAAAACCACTGTAGGAACGAACTGCACTCACGGCTTGACTTCGGGCAATTTTCATGATTATCGCATCACACCGCTGGTGCTCCAGTGCTGCTTCAGTGCTCATGCACCCCAGTGGGAGTATTGTAAGAGTACTCATAAGGCTTTGGTGATGCCTCTGGGATCTATGATGAAACCCATTTAATTTATTTTCCCCTGTCATTGTCCTTTAAGCCCAGGAATATAAGTGGCCACACTGCAGTGTCAAAGTACTTTAAATGGGGCCTCTGTGGTCCGCTGTACAGTCTTGCTTCAGTGTGTGGTAATTGGAAACAAGCTGACCAGTCAGGCTGCCCACTCCGTCAAGCTGTCCTGACTTCTTTCAGGACGCAGCTGGACGAGATCCTCCAGTCAGGACACGAGGCACTTCTTTACACGAAGGGTGGTGGGAGTGTGGAACAAGCTGCCCAGCCGTGGCGTTGAAGCTGGTACCTTGGCTTCTTTCAAAACCCAGCCGGATGAGATCTTTGGATCAATTTGTCATGAACTACCAAAAGGGCTGAATGGCCTCCTCTCATTGTTGTTATGGTCCCTCGATGTAAATTCTGCACTTCTGGCGACATGTCCTCTTGCTGGGTAACTGCTGGCCCACGGTGGGAGATGGTGGTGGTGTCGACACCAAGTGCTGTCTTTCTCAAAAGTAGCCTCCTGTATCTCGGCGTCCTCCCTGCTAACGCGAGCGTGCTCAAGCAGCAAGAGAGTCACGCCAGCGTGGCCAGGCACTCGCAGCTCGTTAACATAACATAACATCACTTTATTGGCCATATACAATTTCTTGCATTAGGAATTTGTTTTTTCGCATACCCCAGCTTGCTCTCCATGAGACACACAGACAGGGAGAGAGAAGCTGGGGGTCAGAGCGCAGGGTCAGCCATTTATATGGCGTCCCTGGAGCAGCTGGGGTTAAGGGCCTTGCTCAGGGGCCCAACGGAGTAGGATTTGACGTTCCAGCCACAGGCGCACATCCTTAGCCACAGAGCCACTGCTCCTCCCCAATAACTCATTAACTACTTAACCCCTGTCTTCCAGGTGGTGGAGCGCTCCAAGGAGTGCCGTCGCGAGGCGCGGGACGAGAAGATCCGGGAGTACTTCTACGGCTTCCGCGGGGTCTCCTTCTTCCCCCACGCCTTCGACGTGCGCTTCTCGGACGTTCGGATCTACAAGATCGGCGCCCCCTCCATCCCGGACTCCTGCCTGCCGCTGGGCATGTCCCAGGACGACACGCAGCTCAAGCTGGTGCCCGTCACGCCCGGGCGGGACCTGGCGCACCACGTGCTGAGCGTGAGCTGCGGGGGCGAGGAGGGCGGGGCCGAGGCGGGGGGCGGGAAGGCGGCCGGGGGCGGGATCCTGGACAGCCCCGTGTGCGGCTTCATCGTGGTGACGGCGGTGGACACGCAGAACCAGGTCATGACCGTGCTGTCCCCCGCGCCCCGGCCCCTCCCGCGCCACGTGCTGCTCATCATGGACATCCGCTTCATTGACCTGAAGTGAGCGCCGGGCCGGCTCGGCTCAGGCGGTCTCGCGCACGGACAGTGACCGTTTTAAAGCCCGGTTTGGGGGGTTGGGGGGGGGGGGCGGTTCCCAGGAGCCCCTGCAGCAGCTTGACGTCCAGGGGCTTGAACGGAGACAGAGACGTGGAGCCAGCAGTGACCTTGCCCCAGTACTTTCATGACGGGCTCTGAGTAAGTCAGCGGAGATTGTGTTTTTTATCATCACCCCACCCAGAAACACATCCAGGAGCTGCCATGGTTTCTTACTCAGCAGTGGGAAATTCTGTTTTTTTGTCTTTCCTGGAAACAGCTCTTTTACAGATTTGGCACTCTGACTGCACAAATCAGAAGGTTTGCTTGTTTTAACAAAGCTGATTTTTTTTTCTGGAGTATTTTTAATAAAAAAATTATTTGCTACAAAAAAGCTGTTCATTTTGCATTAGTGAGAGGTGTAGCAAAGTCACTGTTTGAATCAACCGATTCAGGAGAAAGGCAGTTAAATGCCGTTTTATACAGTTTTTAAGACGGGTGTTGAGAGTTCTGTGCAAAAGCACCAGATCAGAAAAACACTTCTAAACTAGAGGATCAGTTCTAAATTGCGGCCCATCTAGGCTGATTGATAATTTATCTAATAATCTCATTCATGTGTCTTGAAAGAAACCAGACAACAACGTGCCTGGGAAGCTTGTTCCACACTCCCACAACCCTTTGTGTAAGGAATGGCCTCCCATTTTTGGTTTTAAATGCTCTTCGCTGTAGTTTCCATTGGACTCTTCTTGTTCCTGTTTATCTGCTGATTCTTCTAGGTTAGAACTGTCAATGTGTTTTTCAGGATTGTGAATACTCGTATCAGGTCTCCTCACTGTCCAAAAGGCTCAATTCCTTTGGCCTGTCAAGTTAGGACATTCCTTTCAGCTGTGGAATTAAAGAGTGTTGGTCAGCACATCATTCAGTGTCTGTGCGTTTGTCACACTGGGAGTCAATAATGGTCACTCAGACTCTGTTAGTCCTTCACTTTGTCACATTCAGATTCGAAGAGCTTTATTGGCCTGACTGATGAGTTATAGCAAATGCAATTATCACTATTTATACACATTTACAGTACAAATATATTATTGGACATTTATGTACAACACATAAAACATTCTTGTCCGTTCCTGAGATCACATACTGAAGTGGTCACTGAGCCTGTCCTCTCTGGACAGACAGGTCTG